TTTTTATATTTTTTTTTAAACATTCAAACATAAATTAGTGATATAGAACTATACATATTGTAATGAAATATAGATAACTTCATAATTCTTTGGACTTACGTAAAAGGTTATTTTAAATCGTGTGAGTACGCTTGTACAAAGTTATTGCGGAATGATTAAGTATACATAAATGTTAAAAACTATCGGAATCTAAGTAACAATGAACATGGTGGTCGTTCCACATCTAAATCATATAAAAATTCATTTTTCAATTTCATTAATCAACGTCTTCGCGAAAATTTCTTTTTCTTTGGGCACAAAAATGAATTTATTTAGAAAACAGCATTTACAGTTACCAACGTATAGATATAACTAAATTAAGTATTTCTATTCATCAAAATATTTAGAAATGAGTAAAACCTCTTATAAACTAAAATATATTTGATTGTTCAAACACTGAAACAATACAGGAGCGTGGTCCACACTCGACAAATTTATTCAATTTCGGGGAAAAAATATATTTTCTCTAATAAAGCGGGGAATAAAAATAAAACTCTTAATTAAAATTATTGATATTTTTAAGTCCTTTTTTTATGTGTAAAAACACTTTAAAGGGCTTGTGCCGTTTTGGAGAATTATTGCAAAATATGACAAAGATAGGTACTATTATTGTTTAAATAATCGTTTGAAGTGTATTAAATGTCTGCTTATGTGAACTATTAGTGGAAACGGTGAAACAAGTGCTCAGATAGTGATGTGAATCTCAAGATAAGGTGTCTGTCTGCTGAGGCGCCTTGAGATACTATCAAGGACAGTTGTTGCAACTCTTTATGAATTCGCAGAAATTTACACACAATCATAATTTTATCTATGTGTGGATTGGGCGTGTAAAATTAAAGCGAGAAAAAGATATCGCTGTTTCTTTCTTTCGCGTTGTTTCAGATTGCCATTCGTAGTGATTATATTCTCTTTGATTGCCATTTTAAAAATTAGATACAGAAATACATATTACATCGGAAGAAACTGAAAATATTAAATCTGTGTTTAACTTTTTTGGTTGCTCATTAGAGTATAATTACAGACATATTACTCTGAGATTTGCACAATTAATTCACTTATTTATTGATTAAAATTTAATTGTTGAATATAAACAGAATTCTGTCAAAAGAAGCCATGAATTAAAAGAAGAAAACAATTGCATTTGTTTGTCAACATCTATCATATTGAAAATATTTTCTGAAATTGATTCAAAATTGTAGGTTTAGATTTTAATATTTGTTATTGCGTTTTGCTTAAATTCGATTATTATCGGTTCAGAATAAGAAGAATATAACAGAAGAATATAAAGTAAATTCGAGTAGTTTTGGTGCCACTTCTAAAATGTATGGGAATTCACCCAATAGGTTTGTGAGGCTCGAAACAAAGTTACACAAATTTGCCTTAAATAAAAAAATTATAAGTTACAGAATACAAGGTTTGAAATTCTCACGGAATATAAAAAACATGAGGAAGTAGCAAAACGCATTATTTGTAGTGGAACCACCAAACTCACACATACGCAAAAAAGAAAAACAATATTTCAATAATTTTTAGACGATAATGAATTCGAATACTAATGTAGATCATGATATCACTTTTATTTCAGCTTCTTTCCAAAAGTCATGAGTACTACTAAACTACTTACTTCTCTGGCTTACCCCTCACATATTCAGGAAGTGAAGGATGAGGTCCGCCGCCGGAACTCACCCCCCATAACCTCTGACCCTATCACAGTGTCCAATGATGAGATCTCATCCCTCATCAAAGGACTTAGGCCCAAAAAGGCTCCGGGCGCGGATGGCATATCCAACCAAGCCCTTAAACACTTTCCAGAGCAGGTGTTAACCCTCTTATCTATTATATTTAACGCCTGCTTTAATCTTAGCTATTTTCCCACTACATGGAAAGAGGCAATTGTTATTGGTATTCCCAAGCCAGGCAAGCCTCTAAACCTCCCCTCCAGTCATCGTCCCATTAGCCTCCTAAAGGCCATGGGCAAACTCTTTGAAAGAGTAATTCAAAGTCGAATGAGGCGCCATCTGTTTCCCACAGACGGTGACCCTCTTATCATTCCCCATCAATTCGGTTTCAGAGCGAAACACTCCTGCCCCCAACAAGTTCACCGTATTGTGGAATATATCCTCAGCGGTCATTATCCACGTCGAGAAAAGACAATCGCTGTCTTTTTCGACATTGCCAAAGCCTTCGACCGAGTCTGGCATGAAGGCCTCATATTCAAATTATATAAAATAGGACTCTCCGATCGTCTAGTACGTCTCGTGGCCTCTTATTTACAACATCGTACCTTTCGTTTTAGATACGAAGGCACGTTATCCCCTCAGCGCCCCATTAAAGCTGGTGTTCCTCAGGGATCGGTACTAGCTCCCCTCCTGTACATCTTGTACACCAACGACGTTCCAATCCCGTCGAATGGTGTACAACTATCACTCTTCGCAGATGACACTGCACTCTATTTTAAAAGTAGATTATTATCTCACGCAAGAAACAAACTCCAAAAGTCAGTCGATGACCTAGGAAATTGGTTCCAAAAATGGCGCATCGATGTGAACCCGGAGAAGAGCTCCGCGGTTCAATTCGATTGGAAAAAACGCCGAGTTAAAATCAATAAAAATATCCCACCGATACGTATGTTAGAAACCACAGTTCCCTGGCATACGTCTGCTAAATATTTAGGTGTCACCCTTGACTATAGGCTCACTTTCGAGCCTCATGTCAAAAGAGTAACACGATTAGCTCGTTTTTACTTAGGTAGGTTAAACAGTATGTTAGGCCGACATAGTAAAATGTCATTAAGAAATAAGCGAACACTTTATAAGGTTTGTATACGTCCCGTAATGACTTACGCGGCCCCTGTATTCGCACACGCCAATAATAAAATTATTAACGAACTACAAGTAGTTCAAAACTTATTCTGTCGTCGAGCTACGAACGCACCTTGGTACGTCCGTAATGCCGATCTTCACCGGGATTTAGAAATCCCAACAATTCAGCAATATACTAAAACTCTCTCTGAAAACTTTTTTAAAGTTTCAGAGTCGCACAATAACACATTAATTCGTGAGGCAGTAACTTATACCGCCCCACTCCCCTCACGCCATACCGTCCGCAGGCCGAGAAATACTCTCTCGGACCAGCCAAATAAACTTTCAAGTGACCTGAACTGCCTTCTGGCGGCTCAGGCCAATTCTAATTAAATTAAAAATTATTTAAAATAAATATGCCTTCGTAGGCAGTCCCTAAACGGCACTTAGCCGTCTGCGCCCTCTTTTCCCAAAAGAGGGTCGCTTTAGATACGGCATATGAAGCTTTCAACAGCTAGTTGCCAGTCCCCAAAGGCAGTTTTAGGGGGTATCACTTAGGTTCCCCTTGTAGGTAGTGAGTCCCCCATAACCACGATGGACCGGCCATCGTGGTATGCGTAATGCATTTTCTGCCTCCCTCCGGGGTAGCCCTTTTCCAATTGCTTCGGGCGCAAAAAAAAAAAAATTCTCTGGCTTAGCAATCCTAACAAATGTTCATTCATAGGGTATCACTCTACAATTTCGTATATTTCCATATGTATTCATAGTATTTGCAAATTTTCATTACTATGTTAGAGAATGAACAGGGCTGTGATAAAATTTTATCGAAAACTATAATATCGGCGTAGTCACAATATCGCAGCTATTTTTATTCAAAATGTATTGACAAATGAACCTTAGTAGAACAAAATAAGGTTAAAAATTACTTGTAATAAAGGCAATTTGACATTTTGAAAATTTTTAGTTAAATTTATATCCAAAAAAGGAAAAATTATACGTGCCGTTGGTACAAACACTTTCATTCAAAGTATTTTTCTTTTTACTTTCGTTTTTCACTACAACATTGCACAAAACGGCATATTTTCGCTTAATTCACTTAAGCAGTGATCAATTTGAGCGTGCGACTGACAGTCAATTACGCTCTACTGTCACTAATTGTGACACGCCTGCGCCTCCCACTTTGAACTTCCTCTTATTTTTATATTCCATGGAAATTCCCGCTAAAAGAGTTTTATATAGGCGCCCACCGTGGCGCATTTAGTGTACGTTTATAAACGTGTTTCCTTTTTTTAGCATGAAGTTGGCTTTCTTCTCTCGATTGAGAGTAATTGTTTTCTGTGATCAAGGATTATTATCAACTGATACCATAGACTTTACGCCGGTATATTCAAATTCTATGCTTGATACTGAGATAAATAGAGACATAACTTAAAAAAGCAAGCATCCAAGCCAAAATCTTAATAAAAAAACAAACAAGCAAAATAGCGCCCTCTAGACTGACGCCTGTTAAACGCCGGTTAACGCTCGCTCGCTGCCCGCCATAATATTCTTGTTAGGCATCGGATATCTTTGGCTGTAAACAATTTGGTAAGTATACTTCCATAATATTTTCGTGACACAACAATAGTTTCTATATTTTTTAAAAGTGTATGTACAAATAAATCTACGAAACATGATAACACCTACGTATATTCCTGTAAGGAAATGTTTTAATTGCCTAATGGCAGACTCCATTATTTATTGGCTTGGCACAAGGAATTCGTAGTTTCTAAATAAATTGAGATAAAACGGAGTTAAAGTAAATAAAATAAGTCTCGTGGTTTTGTATTTATTTATAAAATTCTTTGTTAGGGTTTTATTTATGAACATACTAACTATACATATTTGTCTCAAGCCAAGCGTCCTAGATAGGCTATTGACTTTTCAACGATTGTTTTTCTTTGTTTAACTTGTTTAGCTACATGGTTACATGCAATTAAATAGGTTTTGATATTTTAATATAAATGAACAATGTTCTTGTTCTGTGCAAACATAAAGTGAATCTTTTGTACGTATATATGCAAATAACTAACATTTTGGAATTCTTTAGCTTTGTTATAATAAATGTAAATATAATTGATTTCAGATTGCCTGAGTAGGTGTAAAATTAATTAACTAAAAATGTCTGATGATGGTTCAACGGCTGTTGAGAAGAAAGGGCGCGGCAGACCAAAAGCGAACGGAACCCAATCTGTAAGCTTATTATTTTTTAATTTTACAAAAAATATTTAATATTTGTGATTGACATTCGACAGAAACCACATTCATTTGGCGCGAATGTGGTTTATGTCAAATGTAGAATTCGGTCAAAAATTCGTATATAATATTTGCCACACATTTGTAAAAGTTTAAATGATAAGTAAATCGTAAATACATGTATCATTGTATATGTCAAACCATTTAATTTATAATATACAGTAATGTTAGTGTGAAGAGGTAATTTAATTTCGAAGAAAACCATAAAACAGTTAATTTGAGGGTAGTACAGTGCAAACTTTTACAACAGTTTGGGTAAATTAGATAGTATTTGGCACATTACTATTTACAAACATTAATGAATGTTGCTGAATGTTCGATAAATAAAATGAAATTCGGTTAAATCTTAGTTAGTTACAACTTGTAAGATTTTGGGGTTTTACGAAATATAAAATTAATTTTGGTGCATCCCTACATAATATACATGCCTAAATTAAATATTTGCAAATAATTTATTCTAGGATGCCAAAGTAGACTCAAAAAAGAGGGGTAGACCTGTAGCACCTGTAAAAACTAAAGAGTCTAAAAATTCATCGGATGATGAGCAGGCACCAGCAGTTAAGAGAGGAAGAGGTAGACCTAAAGGGTCCAAAAAAAAGGCTTCAGCTCCTAAAGCAAAGGTAAAAACTATATAATTAAATAATTAAATACCTACAACTTCAAAATTCTTAATTATTTAATTTCAAATATTTTAGAGTGGGTCTGGTGAAGGAAGAGGTAGAGGCAGGCCACGTAAAGAAGCAGCACCTCCTAAAAAGGATGCAGCCTCTACTGAGGAGGAACAAGATGAAGATGAAGAAGAAGAAGAAGGATCTGACCAGTAAACATTCTTGATTCTGATGAACACTCACATTTAGTGTAATTTGTTTGTCACGATAGCTCTATATGCCTATTTAAACAGATACAGTTTATGAAACATATTTACATAAATGCTTACAGTTTTAAAGTGTTTCTGATAAAGGCATTAGGGGTTATCTTGACTGCAAGTCTCAATTGAGATAGTGCTCCCAAAATTTAAAAATGTGAGATGTAAGAAATATTTGGGAAGTAAGTTAATTAGCTGCTTTAAAAGAAATTGTTTCTTGTGATTTTATTGCATTTACTTGTACTATTTTGGAACAGAGGTGTATCTCACATAATTAAATTTTGGGGTAACTTAGCTCTCCCTAGAAACGTACAAGTTTAAGATATAATTTGTAAGATCATTTTTGTAGATTCTATTCTGATAGGTATTTTGTAATCTCTTGATTTAACTATTTTAAGCAATCAAATAATACAATTTTTGTGGACTTATTCGGTTGACTTAAAAGTCAAGTATTATTTTCTATAATAAATATTTTCTTTTCCATTTTGTTTTTTTTCCCTTTAATATTATCATTTTACATGTTTACACTTAAGAGTGATTTTTGAAGAGGGTGTTAGAATTTACTTAGTATTATTTTTACTCTCACTTTGACTAGTGCCATCTTGTATCACTTGTATTTGGGGCAGACTGAAATCAAATTTATTTCTTTTTTTGAACATTTATTGTGCGTATGTGTGTGAATGTACAATTTTAGAATAAAATATATAATAAATCTATGACATACAAGATCATTTCTTTTGTTAGTCCTAGACCTAGTCTTATTATGTATATATTAGTGTTTGGACTAGATCAGATATCTGGGTTTAGGTAACCTTTGCAACTACTGAGAGTAATTATTTTATCCCAGTCGACATAAATTATGGGCGTCGGTCGACACAACAAGTGTGCCCCATGCTTGTTTGCCCCTTTTATAAAAACATTTTAGTGCACAGGTTTGAATGCCTTGCACCTAAATGTACATTTCTCAGGCTAGCTTCAGTATCTTGCGACACGATATTGTTCCTAATTCTTAAGAATGTACCTGATGCGTTGCGACATCAATTCTCGAGAACTTTTAACTGTAGCGGCGCACAAATATTTCGTGTCAAGCGCCATAGAAGTTTTACGACACGCCTTTTGTGCCATCAGCTAGGCGTAAAAATAATGTTCTTTTTTATGCTTTTTTCGCTTGTTTAGACCTGATTAAATTTAGTTGACATCAAACAGTTGCAAACGGAAAGATACTTGTTTTTAGTGGCTAACTACGTGTTTTCCTCGAAATGGAGGGAAATAGGTAATATTTTTATGCAGAGATTACTACCTTTTATACTATTTTTTGTTTTATAAAATAATAATTTATATAAGTAAGTACAGCTAAATCACCCTGAAAAACCTTTTGGTTTTTATTAAGTTTTTACCCAATAATAACGTCTGTAAAATGTCGAACAATCAAGAACCTTAATGCAGAAAAAATAAGGTTTATGATTCATTGATATTTTACAAATGTAAAAGTCAAGTCGATCTGAAAACGAATCTAATTAGAATAGCAAAATAAAAAATTTCTAAAGGAAAATGCGCCGGCGCTGTTTGGTGGAGGATGAACAAAAGACTGTTTCATTATTCAGAGGATGCTTTTATTCAGGAAGCTACAGTACTACGGTGTCAAGAATAATTAAAACTTATTATTTCATATTTAAGTAATAGAATGCAGAAAGTTATCAATGGTAAAAGTTCTTCTGGGTTGTCCGTAAAGATAGGTGTCCCTCAGGACTCGATTCTTGGTCCATTCCTATTTTTAGTGTATATTAATGACTTACCTAGTAGGGGATAATCATGGTATAGTATTATTTGCTGATGATACTTCCTTGATTTATAAACTTAAATGTGACGAAGTGAATAATGCTATATCAAAATTAGCGTTAATAATCTGCTTTTTTTTATAGGACGGGGCAAACGAGCATGCGGCTCACCTGATGGTAAGTTGGTAAGTGACTACCGCCGCCCATGAACAACCGCAACACCAGGGGAATTGCAGATGCGTTGCCGGCCATTTAAAAAGGAGTAGGCTCTTGAAGGTCCCTAAGTCGTATCGGTCCGGAATAATCCCTGATGGTAATCGATTCCACAAGGAAGTTGTGCGAGGAAGAAAACATCATCTAAATCGCACAGTGGTGTGGATGGTATCGGGAGTTCGGCCGCGATGTGCGTTCGTGAAATTTGGCGGCTGGGATTAATCCGAACAATTCCTCAGAGCACTCCCCGTGGTAAATGCGAAAGAAAATGCAAAGGGATGCAACATCTCTTCGCAGTGCCAATGAATCGAGCCGGTCGGAAAGGACTCGGTCGTCGACGATTCGAGCCGCTCTGCACTGGATGCGGTCAAGTGGAAGGAGCTGACACTGGGAAGCCCCTGCCCAGAGATGGGAACAGTATTCCATGTGAGGCCGAACCTGCACCTTGTAAAGTTGCAGGCGGTGTGCCGGCATGAAATACTGTCCCGCTCTGCTGAGCACGCCAAGCTTTTTAGAGGCCAATTTGGCCTTTTCTTCCAAGTGACAACGAAACTGCACGTCACTCGATATGTCGACTCCGAGGATTCGGATATTGGCTGAGGCAAGAAGGGTAGTGACTTGAAACTGAGGAGATACGACAAAGGGGTTCTTTTTAGCGGTAAACGCGCAAACTTGTGTTTTCTGAGGATTAAACTGGAATACATTTAGTCGCCCCTAATCCGAGACTTGGTTCAGCAAAGATTCGACTTCAGACACAAGTTTGTTCCGGTACTCTACGACGTTTTCATGAAAAATATTGGCACGTCCGGTGTATAGAGCATCACCAGTGGTGTCATCCGCATAGCAATGAATGTTACCAGTTAGCAACATATCATTGATATGCAGAAGAAACAGCGTTGGTGATAGCACACAGCCTTGTGGAACACCAGCGTTAATAGGCTTATAGTCGAAGCATGCACCGTCTAGAACGACCTTGATGCTCCGATCTGCAAGGAAGCTGGTGATCCAATTGCACAATTTCTCGGGAAGCTCATAGGAAGGGAGCTTCGAAAGAAGTGCTTTGTGCCAAACCCGATTAAAAGCCTTCGCAATGTCCAAACTAACGGCCAACGCCTCCCCCTTGGACTCTACTGCCTCCGCCCATCTATGAGTCAGGTAGACCAGAAGAACACCAGCTGATCGACCCCATATAAATATTAACTAAAACTAAATGTATTAAATTTACAACAACGAATGTTAAAAATCTGAATACCAATGTGTTTTTAAATGGGGAAGTACTGAGCCCTGTTGAATCCTCTGTTTTCCTTGGCATTTCTCGACGCAAAGCTTCAATGGGGCCCCCATATATCCAAACTAGCAAGCAGACTAAGCTTATGCTGTAAAAAAGATTAGAGATCTCACTGGTGTCGAGACAGCTAGATTAGTTTATTTCAGTTATTTCCATAGCATAATGTCTTATGGGATTTTGCTATGGAGAAATGCGGCTGATTTAGAAACTATTTTTGGTTTGCAGAGAAAAATTTAAAGAAATAAATATATTAACTTGGCCTCTCAGTGTATTTACGAAAATTAAATGTATGTTCACAAAAACAAAGATAGTTTTAGTAAAAAAGTGATATACATTCTGTAAACACTAGGAACAAACACAAGGTCTGTAGGGTAAAGAGAGCTAGTATAGTATAGGCTCTGAGAGTATTCATCTAAATCCTCAGAGAAGCTATAACCCTGATCCGCCTGGATCAGGAAGGCTAGTTCTTCCCAGGGCAGAAGACTTTTTTCGGACCAGTGGTAAAGTAAAAATATGACTCAGTAAGAATTACTTATAATCAATCATCATCATTACAGCCCTTCACAAACCCACTGCTGAACATAGGCCTCCCCCAAGGAATGCCACAAATCACGGTCCTGAGCCACCTGCATCCATCGACTTCCTGCATGCCTTACCAGGTCGTCATTCCATCTAGTGGGGGGACGCCCTACACTTCTTTCGCCGGTACGAGGCTGCCACTCGAGAACTTCTTTCCCCATCGGTAGTGGGTTCTTTGAGCTATATGGCCGGCTAATTGTCAATTTAGCTTACTAATCCTTTGGGTTATGTCGGTAGCTCTGGTTCTACTGTGGATATCCTCAATTCTAAGTTAACCACGCAGAAAAACCCCGAGCATAGCCCTCTCCATAACTCGCTGAGCGACTTTGAGCTTCCTCATACGGCCAGCAGTGAAGGACCACATTTCAGTTCCATAGGTCATCACTGGCAACACGCATTGGTTGTACAGTCTAGTTTTTAAGCTTTGAGGTATATACCTGACGAGAAGATATGGCGTAATTTCCCGAACGCTGCCCAGCTGAGTTGAATCTGTCGATAGACCTCTACGTCGAAGTTGGACTTACCTAGTCGGACTATTTGTCCCAAGTAAACATAGTCGTCAACAACTTCGAGTTTAGTGTCCCCAACAACTACCGGCATAGGTGTGACATGGACGATACACATGACTTTTGTTTTGTCCATGTTCATCTTAAGACCTCGCGTTGGGAAACGACACTATTGAGGTCATTGAGCATAGTGCTTAGGTCCTCCAGTGATTCTGCCATAAGGACTATATCGTCGGCAAATCGAGTGAGTGAGTGATGTACTGTAAGTCCCGCCGTATGCATTTGGAGATCTGTCTGTTCAGTTGCCTGTATGCTGTCAAATCTACTGAAGACTGCAGCTTCATATCCCGTCTAACAGCCATGAGATTAAGAGTGTAATCGGAGAGTTTTTGTGTTCTTCTTCGGCGGGTCTTGCAGAACTTAGCTCCGACCGCATGGACAGTTTCCACGAGCTTGTCATTCATATCGTCCACTGCATTGCAATCTTCTAGGCACTTAAAACGGTTTTGTAGCTCGGGCTGAAAGGTTTCGGGACTCTGGATTAGAGCACAAGGGGGGCGGAGCCTTGACTTCATTAGACGACACCTGTCCATCT